ATCGCTATTACCCTTTTAAAAAAAACGTTAAAAATGTTATTTGTCCTTTAGCACCATTCGTTTTGAAGGAGTTGAATTGTCTACAAGTCTAGACGCATGTTTTTTTTTTTCTTTCTAATATTTGAAAATGAGAGTTTTCTTTTTCTTCTTCTTCTTTTTTTTTTAAATAAAGAAATGAAGAGTAATTAACTTTATTAATTTTGTAGGCTTTATCTATAGAAAATTGGGTGAAAATGTCATAAAATATTGAATGGTAGCATTTATTTGACATCATTTATCCATACATATCTAACATCACCAATTTTTCAAGAGATATTGTTATGGTTAATTTATTATTGAACATATAAGTGTAAGGATTTGAACCTCCATCCCTCCATCCCTTTGATTAAAAAAATATGTCTTAATTAGTTAACTTAAGTTTAGACTAACTTAATTTGTTGTCCAATACTTTATATGGTAATTCAATTTCAATTGAATAAATCCATTGTCTATAACATAAATTTAATTTATACAATTTTAATCTTTCATTTATACATTAATTAATCTAAATTGAGATTCTTTTTCCAAATGTAAGCTTAATAAAATTCAGACCTCTAAATTGGAAAAATGTACAGAACAAGAGAATCCATGGAATGAACACCATCATCTCATTATTATCCTTTTGCTCATCCTTTGGCATCAAGGTAGGGATGGCAATGGATAAGATGGGCTCAAGGATTGCCCCCCTTTCCCCAACCCTACACCAACTTCACTCATTCTCCTTGATTTCACAAAATTAAAATGAGTATATATATATATATATATATATGATTAAATTTTAAAATTAATTAAGTTGAGATTCGACAGTGATAAATGTATTTTCTATTTTCATCCCTTAGAAAGAGATTCGATGATGAGACTCCTCTTCTCTAGAGAATTTGTACTTCTCAACGAATATTTTTGTCGTCTGTTTGAAAAATTCAGACATTATTTAAAATTGGAGTAGTTTGGTTTTACTCCTATTTTGTGACAAATGATATATTAGAAATTTGAACCCACGGTTCCAGTTGAAGAATTTCCTTCCTATCCCCTTTAATTAAAAAAAAAAGAGGATCATTCAATCAAATTAAACTTTTGTTTTAATTCAAAATTGAAAAGAGAAAAAACATAACCTCAACTATCAAACAAACATTTCCAACTTTTCTCTCATTTAACCCCCCTCAAACACAAAACAAAACAAAAAACCAAAAAAAATAGAAATAAAAATTATCAAATTAAACAAACTTCACAACTTCAATATAACAATACAAAAGGAAAATCCAAAAATCAAAATCATTACCAATTAAAATCTTTTTCCTTCCACCATAACCATGCCCAAAAATGTAACTTCACAAGCAAACATTTAAAAGGAAGATCAGGTCAGGTAAGGTGTGCAAAAGTATAATAATATTTCAACCTTGAATTAATGTGTGTATATATAAATAGTATATTACATCATAATAATTACTAGAAATAAAGGACAGCATGTTCACACCTTATATATATATATATATACACACACACATTTAAATATTCAACCCTACACGACCATGCATCATTCCAAGTCCAACACCCTCCACTGTGATTTTTATTTTATTTTCAGAGTTATTAATAGCTGGAAAAAATAAAGGAAAAAAAAAAAAAGAACCAAGACATCCAACAAACACTTTGATTGGAAACCCAGATTTTGGATCTTGTGTCCGTTGCTTCTTCTCAATTATTATAAATATTTTTTTCCTTCTTTTTTAATTTCAACATCTCATATCAAGAATTATAAATGAGTGAATTCACTTTATATATGCTTTGGTTGCTAAGAATATAAAAATATAAATTCAAAAAGGTAACGTTGGGAGTTTATTTTAATTTTTCACATTTTTTGTAAATTTATTTTGCAGATTCTCTAAGTGACAAAAATATATTTCATTTGTTTAAACGTAACTCCCCCATGTTCTAATTTGAAAATTTCCTCTCTCTCTCTAAATGGGATGAATTCTAAAATATATTTAGAATAACTTAATTATTATAAAATATGGCTTTTTTTTTTTTTTGTTTGCACTCCAACGGGTAATACCAAATTGTTTGAAAAAGAGGATGTACCCCTCGGCTGTTGAACCAAACACAAACTTTCAAAAAGAATCCCAGGAAAAAAAAAAAAAAAGAAAAGAAAAGAAGGAAAGTAAATATATAGTTAGTCTAATCCCTTTTTGAATTTGAATTCGATAAAGATACTAGATGGGAATATAAAGGAAAAACAAAACCATTTAATAATTTCGAATATTGATAAATAGTGCTCTACTTTCTCTTTTAAAATTATTTTGAAAATTATGATTTAATGATTTTTTTTAAAAAATTATTATGCATATTAAAATCGTCCCTCTTGTTTGTCAAGAAGGAAAAATAAAAATCGCCCCCTCTTATAGAACACAATTTTCCTATTTACTAGTGAGTTTGAGTAAATCAATTTTAAATATATGATTTTGAGAGTAACAACAACTTCACTCGTTCAAATATGATAGGCCTTTGTGGGGAACACACCAGGTGGCAACAAAATTCTAATAAAATTTTTAAAACGAACAACCAAACCTGTTTTCCCAAGTATTGATTATAAATAATAAATGATTTTAAAAGCCGCCTTTACCTTTAGTAAGTTAATCTCTTTATTTCCCTTAATATTTAGTATAAATTTAAATTCCATTTTAGCCTAGTAATTTTAAGAGTTATGTTTAGTGTTTAAATTTGAAGGTTTCTTTTATTTTGGACCCAACTTTCAAAATATTTATTTTATTCCATCGATATTTTAAAAATTTTATGTAAAAGGAAACATTTGAAAAAACTAAATATTTTAATCTATGTTTTATTTCCTAGTCAATGGTTCAGGCTATAAATAACGAGATTTTAAATAAGTGTGTTAATATGATAAAATTAGTGTGCACTAAAGTCACAAAGGTTAATTGATACCTAAATATTATATTAGGTGATAAAATAATAGTAAAAACTAAACTGAATCCTTTAAAAAAAGTTTAATGACCAAGACCTCATTTGATGGTCATTTTGTTTTAAGATAAGACGGTAAAATAAAAAGGTTTAAAATTTTACATAAATACCATAATTACATGAGAAAGATAAAAGTGTGACATTAAAAAAAATAATACGTATAATATTTTTGTCATCGTAATCTCATACTTTGTCATCTACTTTTAATTTTTCCCCTATAATCTAAGTCGAAATTAAAAAAAAAAACAGAAATCTTGTATCTATTTTCAAAATTTGGTTACGAACTTTGGTGTATTTATAACAAGGGTAAAAAATACATAAGTAAATTATGAACAAAGAAACATAATTTCAACTAAAAACTAAATCCTCATCAAACAAGCGACACAAATCACATTTGAAAATCCTAACAACGGTTACATTTAAATAGTTTATACATTATTAAAAGAAAATTAAAATACTTTATATAAATATAGTAATTGGATTATTGGGTTAGACTTTAGAGAGCTTTTATTACAAAAAGTTAATCCCTCAAAAGTAAAAACCTTATTTTGGGGCCGAACGGTTAAAAAAAGGAGGCGAGCAATTTCGTGTGAGAGTGCGAGACAATTAATGAAAAAAAGAAAAGAAAAAAAACCGAAAGAAATAAAAGTGAGACACACCGATCGGCCAGCTACTACATAAGACATTGACCAAAACGACAATGCATCATTGGACTAATTGGTGGGCCCCACCAACCCACAATCAAAAAACTTCAGCAGTAACTAAAATTTATACTCCCACCCCAACAGCTGTCCAAATTTAAACTTACCTAATTCCTCCAACTTGTATTCGTTTTTTTTTTCCTTTTCCCTCCAATTATTTACTATTACTCCAACTTCAATAATTCTTCATTTATTATTATTATTGTTGTTGTTGATGTTTTTTCTTTCTCTCTCTCTTTTTTTTACAGGTCATCCCTACTATTTTTGTGCATACACGTTTTAATTTTATGAAGCTTTTAGAGATCAATTACTTAGTTAATAAAACTTTAGCATCAATAATGATCTCTATAGTTATTCATTCTTTAACATTATGATTACTTATCATTAAGATTTCACACTCCAAAATTTCAATTTGAATTCAAAGTCAACAAAGATCATCAATTGTTACCTATAATTTATTTTATTTTATTGGACAAAGATATATATTAACATCATAATATACGTAATAAAAGCAAGCAAGCACCACATTAAGTATTTAAAAAGGAAATAAATAGTTAAAGATTCGAAGATCTAGTGAATAAGTGAAACTTGATTGTACTTTACATTTTACATATTTTTACTTTGACTGGTTTTGTATTTAATCCAATTTTCAAAAACACTTTGTTTTTTAATGTGAATATTATTTTGTATTTATTTAAGTTTGAAAAACACAAAACTACGAATAAAATTAATGAACAAACAATTAAATTTACAAGCTTAGAAATTCTATAAAGACAACACAATATGAAGAACAATGTATTAATAACGAAATATAAGTTCATCTTCAAAATGAAGCCATTTCCAATTATAGGCTTTGTAATTCAGGTGGAATTAGAGTCCCTTCATGCTATTAAAAGAACACTAAAGTTATTGCAGATGCTGGTCAATTGTTTGTGAAATCTTTTTTCTTTTTAATGATTCGGCCACCAACACAAAACATGAGTTTGAATTTGGCTTTAGGAAAAAGAGAGCAGTGAAGAACAAGAAGATAAAAATATCTCATTGGTTTAAAAATGTCGGATAAAAAATAGTACATTACACTACGGTGTATAGCTTATTTTAATATTTAAAAAGAAAACAAAAAACCCAGTCACATGCCATGTTTATAAACTCATACGATACGAAAAAATGCAAAAAGGGGAAAAAAGGTAACTTAATTATCATAGAATGGTGTAAAAATTGAGTCTTTTTAGAGGAGAAGAAAATGATAAAGAGAGGTTGTTCTGTATTAACAATAAGAAGATAACAGATTTTTCCCAGGGGAAGAGATGAACGAAGAATGAAAGTTGTTGATAGAGAAGAGAAGAGAAGAGAAGATCAAAAGAAAAAGGGAATTGAAGATCCCAACTCTATATCTCATCCGCTTATTTTGGCGGCAACGAAACCGCTATTTTCGCCCGCCTCCCCACTCGCCAAAGTCCACTCTTTCCCTCTTTTTCCCCTCACTCACTCCCCACACACCCACGCCCCCGTCTTTGTTTCTCCCTCGTCTCTCCCCAAATTTCCCACAAAACCTGCTTTTTGTGGATTTTGGAGTTCAGCTCTGCTCTACAAAAAATTACCCACATTCCGCTTTCTTAGAATTTTCTTCTTGTTCGAATGTACAGAGAACCCGGCGCCCAGATATGGGGTACACTACTACTGACCGTGCTTCTTCTTTCTCTCTCTCCAGTCTTTTGTGCCAAGAAGACGTTTCTTTCTTGACCGACGAAGACCCAGATGAGCCCACCCCCCCTTCCGACCATCCGCTCCCCTTTTTTCTTGCCGATGACGACGATGAGTATTTTGAGATCTTAGTTGCTAGAGAGACTGCGGCTGAATCTGGAACCCCTTTGCTCTTTAATGATTCCCCGGATGCAATCCGGAGCTGGTTGAGGAGTGTCCGATTGGATGCTGTTGAGTGGATTCTCAAAGTTCGTCTTCTTTCTAATTCAACTTCTCCTTTAATCGATTGCTCTTTTTTTTTTTGGGTTGTGTTCTTTTTTTTGGGGGATTTAGTGTTTGGTTTTGTGTGTGTCTTTCTGATTCAGAGCCGGGCACTTTTTGGATTTCAATTCCACACCGCATATCTATCCATCGGCTACTTCGATCGAGTTTTATCAATCCGAAACCTAGTAAGCAATCTAATCCGTCAATCTGAATGTTGGGTTTGCCGATCAGGTGTTTGATTAATTGTTTCTCTGTAATTGACGAACAGCAAAAGAGGTCGTGGATTTTCCGATTGTTGGCTGTGGGGTGTTTGTCGCTGGCGGCTAAGATGGAGGAATCTAAAACCCCAAAGCTATCGAGCCTTCAAGTAGAGGGGTTTGATATGGAAAGCAAGGCAATTCAAAGAATGGAGCTATACGTTCTTAATACCTTGGATTGGAGAATGAGCTCAGTTACTCCCTTTTCCTATTTACAGTATTTAATAAGAACGATCTTTGTCGACTCCAATCCACAAGGATTGCTCTCAAAAGCTGCGAAATTCATAATGTCCACAGTGAAAGGTACCTTCCGATCCCCCATTTCATGCTTGATTGCTTCTTCATTTGCAAATTCAATCAATCTGGTCATTAAACTGAGAGTTACGGTACAGAGATTAACTTGGTGGATCATAGACCATCTCTCATAGCAGCAGCGTCACTATTAGCTTCATCTGATGCTCATTTGACAAGAGAACAAGTGGAGCTTAAATTGAAAGCCATAGCTTCATTTGGGTCTTTAGAATATGTGAGTTCTGCTACTTTCAGATAGTTCGTTGAATACATTATTCAGATTTGATTTGCATGTCCCTCTTGTTTGTTTGCTTATTTTTCTTATTGTTATTGTGAAATAATGCAACAGGAACGTATTTTCTTTTGCTATAATCTGATGCTAAAAACAGAGAAAGAAAATGCGAAAGAAGAGTTAACTGGTACTCCATCGTCATCAATCTGCACAACCACTCCTAATATTGTTGACAATCGTTCTGCTACCTCCACTTCTGGTACTAAGAGTAAGAGACGACTCACATTCGAGGACTCCGATCCCGATTGTCCCGAGAAGAAGATTCATCGGCCCTAGCAAAACATAGTTTGGTATTAATAATCAGATTCTAGGATGTTTTTCACTTCAACATCGTTGCTAGAGATAAAATTTTGTTGATCAAATGATTGGGGCTCCATTTTTTCTATACCCAATAAAGGATCCAGCAGTGACAGACGAAAATAGAAATAAGGGAGAGGTATATATGAGGAGAAGGGATAGCTATAGCCTGCAAAAGGGAGAGGAAGAAGAAGAAGCTGAAGCTGACCTAGTGCAAGAAAAACCATCAAATTGCAAGAGAATGCTTGAAGGAGACTGGAGGTTATGGTTTATTGCTGATGTTTTTGTCTTCATGATCACATGTTGCTGTCACTTGCTCTTTTCATTATATTAATTTATTTTTGTTTTCAATTCCTTCCATTAATTTTGTCATCATGATCAAGAATTTGATAGTTAAGTATCTGTTGCCACCCTAGCTTTTGATGGGAGGCTTGGGATGCTTTCCCCTTCTCTTTCAAATACACTGGAGCTGAAAAAGTTGTGCTTTCCTGTGTAACATTTGAGCCATTTGGAAGTGTATACATAATACTAATAAGAATGTTGGAATACATTTTTGATCCACTAGTAGATTCTTTCTTACTCTTCATCACATAAATGACTTGAAATTAGCTTTACCTAAGACACACCACACACTTTATCAAGTTCATATGTGGAAACACATTCTCAGTTTAGTATGGCTTCGCTGCTCCATTCTCTGATCTCTATCGAAGACGACTAGTTTTTGATGAAAGGGATATCAAGAATGTCCCGTCCAACTCGTCGACTACGACGTGTTGTAGAGAAGCTGAATTAGAGAGGGAGAGGAAGAAAAAAAAGGTGTATTGGCCATTTTTGGAGGTAGGGGAAGGGCAGGAGTGTATATTTCTTTTGATGCATCCTTTGGATCATACATTATGATGATGAAGAGATGGGGGGAGATTTGTTTTGGTTGGGATATGGTGGGAGAAGTTAGCCAATGAGATTTTCTGACATGATGGTGTCAGAAGGCTCCACATAGCATCCCTCTTCTAGTTTTAGTTTTGGATTTGTAATGCAATCACTGACAATACTTGATGCCTACAGAGTGAAGTGTTTTTTTCCCCATGGGAATGAAAACAAGGCAAAGCCACAGCCACAGGCAGCACCACAGGAAATTAATTATCCTCAAAACTCAGACAGCCTAACTTAAGTCTTAAGATTCCATTCCATCAATGCCATCTCCACTCCCAAGTGAAGTGGACTGATTCATTCATTACTTTTGTTAAATATAATTTTCATATCAGGAATTCAAAAGGGGGAAAAAATAGTGGATAATTGTTTATGTAATGGTTTTCATTCAATTAAATTTTTTATCTTATGGGTTAGGTTCGGCTTTGTGTTTATTTTCAGTTCAGTTTGAGTTTGGTTCTATTAACTATTAATGGAACTGAATTTTAAGCAAGCCAAAGTTATGTAAAAAGAAAGGTCACATATTTACTTTATTTGTGAATCTTCCTAATAATTCAAATGTTGTTCAATCAATTATGCAAATCTAACATATGCTTGTAAATTTATTAGGAACATATGTTTATAAAAAGAAATAGAGTTATGTTATTATTGATAAATATCTTAATGTTAAGACTTCATACAAATCTTTACCAATTACAATTGTGGAAAGGAAAATAAGGAATGTCTATAAAAAAAAAATTAAATGAGCATATTTATCTATATTCTTTAGATTCTATTAAAAATATTGTCTTTAGATTAAAACACAAATTAGAAAGGAATAGGAATTAAGATGTGACCTTAATTGTATTCTCCCTAACAACTTAATTGGTTAAAGTATCTATCCCGGACCAAAAAAGTGATGGGTTAGAATCTTTTCTCCACCGGTGGTACTAAAAAAACATGTATATATTGTACCTTAATGAAAAATTTTAAAAAGAAAAACCTTAATTTTATTTTTAAAGATTTATTTGCTGATACTGGGCCGGCCCAAATTCACAGACCTTGGGAGTGTGTCTATTTTGGGCACGTTTCTGACCTATTACTTTAAAAAATGGCGCGAAAACAATTTAGATTTTGATGGTGCTAAAGTTACGCGTCTGTGACGTTTGGGAAGAACCCGCAGATCAGAGTCGAAAAGAGATGGTCCTTGGTTCGCTGTGCCTTCTCCGGCCGCACCATCAAATTCTGAAGCACTGCACAGAAAATAAAGCGGTTCTACTCTGTTGCCGGACGGAAGGAAGCAACGGCTATGGCCTCAGTTTCAGTTTCAGTTTCCGACGATTCTGTTTGAAGACTAAGGAAGAACTCCTGATATTGCAGAAAAGAGATATTCAGACAGTGAATCCAGAAATCTGTTCCCTATGGAGAAGAGGCTGCGTTCTTCTCTTGAATCCTCGGCGGAAGAATTCGTCTCCTCTGCAATAAAACTAAGCCTGAAGTCGTCAAAGCACGTTCTCAAAACCCTAATTCATGGCGTGAGGTCTTCTTCAGAACTCTCCTCTTCTATTCCTCTTACCCTCCAACTTTCTATTTCTCGCGCAATCGAAACTTTTCGGAATCTTCTAGGCCCCAATTGCGCAAACTCTGATCCACAGTGCAGCTCTAGTCCCTCCAAGTACCCGCTGTCTCCTCCAACCAAACGTCTGCGGCGATCTCTGCGACATTCCAAAACTCGGGAATGCGAAGATTTAGAGGGTAATGAATCCAATTTGAACTTCCAAAAGGAGAAGCTTCTCGTAGAGCTGGAAATTCTTTCGTACCTTGTGCTCTTGTGCATTTCGCATCCTAATAGAGCATTTTCTCTGACCGATTTACTTCCGTGTGCTCGGGAGTTGCACGATAATTTGATTATATTCGAGTGGAGTTCGGTACTGTCATCGGAGATTGCAAATTTGTGCGAGGAATGGTGGAAGGAGGACTTGCCGGGGCGAGAATCACTGATCTCTCAGGCCCTCCCTTTCTTACTCTCCAGATCATTGACACTAAAGAAAAAGGTCGATGTGCACAAAGTCTATATGCTTCGCGAGGCTTTTTCTTTGTTTGATTTTGAGGACGAGAGTATCAAAGATTTGAAACTTTTGCTTATTCGTTGCGTTATTGAACCCATATATCTTAAAACAGAGGATGGTCGTCGGTTTGTGGCGTATGCTTTCGGCTTAAGTCGGCAGCTGTCGAAGGAAACATTGGCAATTATTCGATCCCAAATTCCATTTGGGAGAAAATCCATGTTGGAGGCGTACGGAGACATCTTGTTTCGTGCTTGGCGGAATTCAGAAGGAGATACAAGGGATGAAATCGAGAATGGATTTTTGCAGAGTTTGGTGGAAGGTGCCATACATTCGAGCACAACTGCCTTTGGTGCTTCAATTAGAAGGGTTTTGGGAGGGTTTGTAAACCAGCGAACTGTAGATGGTGTTGAGAAGCTTCTTTTCCGTATAACTGAGCCTCTGATATTTCGATCGCTGCAGGTATTTCTCTCTTTCTTTAGCAACCCATTTTTATCTTACATGTTGGTCGGCTCGGCTCTACAGCTCAATTGGTATGACTAGCTGCAATTGGTGCGTTCTTGTGAGTCTGCAGAATCATCTTGTTCTTAGTGAACAATTAAGAAATGGAACTGTTGAACTTAACTTCCTTCGAACGAATAATTGAATTTACTTCAAGAATTTTGTTGTGGTAGTGTTTTAACAGGTCTTAATAGCAGGAGATTTGAAGTTCATTTCTTATTGTCCTAATTTAATTGCTTAAGCTTTTTTAATCTATTAATGATCTAATACAATGTCTTTCTCAGGGCATGGGATTAAAACCTTAGTGTCTTCTTTGAAATTTAAATGTTAAACGTATGGTTCTTGAAGGGACGAATTCGAAAGAGACAGAAAGTTATTTATCAACCTTGAAAACCTTATTTTTTTCTTTGCATTCCTTGGTAATTCACTTTTCATCTTCTTTTCACGAGCGAATAACCTTGCTTGTGAATGAGTTAATGTATCCCGATTCCCAGCTTCTATTTATGGTTTATGTATTGTTTACTCAGGATTCTGGTCATAGATGCAAGTATTTTGGCTTTGGTTAGTAGGTGATTGTGTTCTTATCGTCCCTTTGAATTCTTTCCAGGTTGCAAATTCAAATGTCCGTCAAAATGCATTACACCTACTTTTAGATGTATTTCCTCTCGAAAATCCAGATGCTACAAAAGAGCGGAAAGACACATTGCTCGATAGACAGTTCTTTTTAATAGAGAAGCTTCTCATGGACGATAGTCAAGATGTCAGAGTTGTAGCAGTTGAAGGCTGTTGTCGCATCCTTTGTTTATTTTGGGAAATAATCCCTTCATCAACCATCACAAAGATCATCACCAAAATTTTTGACGAAATGTCCCATGATACATCCAATGAGGTTAGGTTTTCAACATTGAATGGTATAATTTATTTGTTTGGAAACCCCCAATCTCATGAAGTTTTGAAAGTGGTCCTACCAAGGTTGGGACATTTAATGCTGGATAATGCTCTTTCGGTAAGAGTAGCTCTAGCAGATCTCCTTCTTCTTATCAGGGATGTTCGCAATTTCCAGTTTAATAAGGTATGTGAATCCTATAACTAAATTTTTTTGTATAAATGCTGCAAAGGCATGTTTTTGTCCATAATGTATTCCTGAACGTTTCTGCAGGTGGTCAGTTTAGATTTACTGTTAGAGGTACTTGCAAATGATCAACACATTATTAGTCAGAAAATTACTAGATTGCTGATGCCATCGTATTTTCCTACCAAAGTATCAGTTGAAGAGGCCTGCAGTCGCTGCATTACACTTATAAAGAGATCTCCCATGGCTGGAGCAAGATTTTGCCAATTTTCTGTATCAGAAGGGGCATCTCTTAAGTCAATTATGGAACTTGTCCGAGTAATAATAAATTTGGTTTTGTCCTCTGCCAAGCTGGATACAAATTACATCGATGGCTTACTACTTTCGGCTGAATACCTCTGCAGCAGCATTTTGAGTGAGCCATGTTACAAGAACAATCTCAAAGATTTGTTCATCGGTGAACAATTAAAGAGCTTGCTCTCTGTAGCACAATCTGGGCATGCACGATCTTCTATATTCAACATTGTTTCCTTGTTTTCTCCTAATGGTTTTACGGATCTTCTTGAGGAGGGCATGCGATTAATTATTAACTGTCGTGGCTTATCGGAAAACTTAGAAAAGCAAGCAGAAGTGAGGTCTGGCCATAAGTTTTTCTTGTCTTGTGATGAACTGGATGTCATGTTTGAAGCCATGGCATTGATACTACAGAAATCTGCTTATCGTTGCCACATTAAGTTTGGTACACCGAACCTTGGTGTTTCCCCTGCAAAGAGAAAGAAATGCAAATTATCAGGAAAAATACTGTCTAGATTGAAACATTTTGGTGGAAAAAAACATCTGAGCTTTGAAGACGATTACTTGATTGCAGTAGGAATGGCGTGGCAAGTAAAAGATTTGCTTTTAGACGAAGAAATGAAGAGTGGTTTATTGAGTTCCCAGACTATAGAGACAATATTTCTTACTTTAAAGGTTATCTGCGAAGTATGTATTGTGCAGTGCGTAGATTATGAATTTATGGATGTATCTCCTGTTCTGGCATATGCATCTCTTGCTTTACACATGACTCTTCAGAATGGCAGTCAAAGTATTATGAGTACTAGTGGAGCCAAGAACAAAATTGCGACAGATTCTTCGAGTTCAGAGGCAAGTATTTATTTAATGTTAGTGAATAAAATTGTGTTATTCTGGTAAAATATATTTAAGCAGCCCCTTTTCTCCCTTGGATAGGATGTAACTGTATCTGGTGTCCTTCTTGTTTCTTTAATATATATTCCAATCCAGATCTCTTTAGCTTCCAACCTTAAATCGCTTAACTGCCCAATTAATTTCTCAAAAAGTAGTGTTTATATTTTCAAATGATTCCTGTTTGTTGAAATAAGCAAGCAAATTTCACAACTTAGATTTTATTATAGTGAAATATAACGTTTATAATTTTTGATGAAAGTGTTGGTGCAAAGTTTCTTTTTGACCGAGCTGTTACAATAGTTGCAACTTTACTTGCTAATGGAAACCTGTTTGAAGTTGGTGAAATGATCGTACATGAATATGCACTAGGTTTCTATGGTCGGGAGGCATTTGAATCGAACTGTCTTATCCACTTTTTAGCTTTATGGTATATTTCTTACTAATGGACTCTCAATTCTTATCTTTATTCTGTAGGCCTTACTGGAGGAGACACTGGATCACTTGCTTAAATGCATAGAGAAACTTTATGTGTCAGAGGACATTAGAAAACCTGACGTAGAACTTACACGAGGTAACAGAAAATTGGCTGAACAGGTGGAACAAAAACATAAGGAATCTGGGATAGATCATTCTCACCCTCTGGAGGGAGGTAAGCAATTCTCTATTAAATTCGGCTCTTGAGAGTGTAGGATTTACTCAACTAATACTTCAAATTAAAACAATGTCCTAAATATTCAGTTCGGTGTGCATCGAGTTGATAAAACGAGATGCCCTGATCCTTCATAATTTACTTTTATACAGTTAATATGATCTGTATCAATCCTGGTGATCTCATTATGATTTTCAACTCCTTTGATGACTGATCATTTTTTAACCTGGATTTTCAACCATCGTTGGTTCCTTTAGTAATCATAGGGATAAAATCAAAGGATTAAGATCTTATAAGTTTTCCAATTCTTGAAGTCAAGTCAGATTATAGTTTCAAGTTAGATGGTGAAAAGAATGAAAATGAACCATGCATCTAACTGTTTTTGGATTCAGGTTGGAAGCAAAATCTTGGATTTTGTTCCTTGCTATATAACATATATACTATTATTATAAACACGAACGACAGAATTTGTTTTTGACATTTTGTAGTTACTCATGTAGGATGCGTCGATGTTTCAAAAAAGACGGTGAAGCAGGGGACCATCCTTACAGCAGTTCTCAAGTTCATTGTTGATGCTATTTCAATGGGATTTCTTTCACAGAAGTACGAATTGTGCTTGAAGTTCACGACAAAGTATATGCAGTACATTATTTGGATTTTAGGCCAAGAAGGTTACAAGGATATTCAGTTTGAGGAAATGAAAGAAATTATCCTTTGTCTAAAGAGCTCTTTGAGCTATGCTGGAAAGTTACTAAATCAAATACAAAGACATGTCCAAGATTCCTCAATGTTGACGCAACAACTTTCATATCTTGCCAATAATTTGCTTGATTTGATTGCCTCAACTGAACTGCACTTGGGGCCTGGTTATGCAGCTCGTCTTGTTGCAGCAGCAAAGCCTTGGCTTCCTGATCTGATTCTGGCATTAAGAGCTGGTAGCATAATGAGACAAGTTGAAGGCAAAGAGGCACACGTCGACTTATTTGATCAGACCAAACTCTATTTTCCCTCATGGCTATCAACGGTTGCAAAGATTGAACTTTCAGGCATGACTGAAGATTCTACCGAGGAGGATGACGATGACAGATTTTCTGATCGACATGATTTTCCTATATTTAACAAATTCATTAGGATGATTGTCACATTTTTGAAACGAGATCACCACATCCTGGATGCAGTTGGAGTGGTTTTTATGATGGGCTCAGAAGTTGGGTTGGAAAGAAAGGATTTTGGGCTGGTACTGGGACTTCTACAGTTTGTGTGCCAAAGCCTGTATTGTGCTGACAACAGAGACTGGGGCGATATGATGTTGACTACTTTGCAACGTTGCTACCCTCAGATAGAGAGAGAAATAGAACAATGTAACGAAGATGGAAGGCATCAATTAGATCGAGCAAAGGCTTTGCTCGAGCCTGTATGGTTGTACCACATTTTCGAAACTGGTAAGCTTTCAATGATGGATGAGTAGTTAAAAACCTTATGTTACAGTACCAAATGTTATTTCTATCATTTAGTTCTCCTTGTAAGATGTATAGCCCTTTAATGGTGAAGCTGAGAGTGGCTAAATCAATAGGCTCCCAAGGGATAAACTGATTAATTAGATAGAAGTGGGGGATATTGGGACCGAAAAGGAAGCATGGCCTGCACAGCCCATGAGCAGACTCGTGCTCTTTGACAGGCGCCAGAGTAATTCAAGTGGGTGGGGGGGTATTCCACAGTTCATAACAAAAAGTGGGAAAGGAAAAAATGAGAGGCAGTTTCAATTTCGTGCTGGGAAGATTATTGGTTCGGTCCCATGAAGTGAAAACTGAAAAGGAAACCGCAGCTTTAAGGCTACGACATGGACCAGCCCCCAGCATCTTTTATGGAATGTGTTGGAGGAAAAGGTGCGGATGCAAATGCGAAAGACTAGAATAGAAGTGTCAACGATGAGATTTTAGACCAGAATTCGTGACATTGAAATAAAGTTAGGCTGTAGTTTTCTGGCAGGTAATTGTATGGAAACGATGCATCTCATTCTCACGCTCTCTCGCCCTTCATACACGGCTAGTTCAAATGAGCACAGGTATAAACTATAAACTATAAACGTATAGCTTTATCTTTATGCACACACAATACGCTTCGGTGGGCCAAAATAAAAGTGGCATCACTGGGAAAGAGCTCTCTTTTTTTTCTTCTATTTTTGCATTAGTGGGGGCCATGATTTAAAGCAAGAAAACTGATGGGTTAAATAAAGAACAGCCTCCTCCCTTCCTCGCATATGAAAGATCCTAGACTTTTCAAAAGGTAATATATATAGAGAGGGGAGTGAGGGTTGAGGGCATATGAAAGACAGCGTGAGGGCCACTACAACCCATTTGTGCCACTAATGGGCGAACACCTTTGGAGGAGATTCCTCCACAGACAACTCAACTCAGCGGCCGTCCTAATACGATTCCAGTGCCTCCTCAACCTCAAAGTTCCATTCCCCATGCCTTCTTTCCTAACTTTCTATTGTTTAATCTTTAACTTTTCCATTTGTTAATATCATTTCATTTGCTTTCTTTCTTAATATTAATACCATTTTGCTTAGCTTCCTCATATCCCCTCCACCAACTCCACTTGTAAAATTTGACCTCGCTCCTCTCCTATTCCTATTGTGACGATTATGGGGATCTTTTTTGTTTTAATATTCACTCTAAAAAAGTGGTCCATTTCCTATGTACTCCAAGAATTTTGCACTTTTGAGAGTACTATAAAACTGTGATTTATTTGTGGTTAGAATTTATGTTCATGAGAAACCATTATGGGACATTTCAACTTTCAAGACATAGCTCAACCATGGAATTAAGAAATTGAGAATATTAGTACAAGTCTTCTTCATTATACACGCACATGGATAAATGTTGGGCGTTTTAATTTGGAGGCAATTGAAAACGTTTCAAAAGTTAGTTGCCTAAGTTTTGGAGTTGAATAATAATGGGAATAGGTTCATAATATTCTTATCTTGTCATTTTTCACATCATTTATAGAATTATTGGATAAAATATTTGTAAAAAGAAAAAGAAGACTGAATTTAAAACATGGTGATTCAATTGTTGTGTAGTAGACAAGATACGAAACATTATCGATTTCTTGAAGTTTTTGTTTTCCCTCCTACCAAAGTATTCATAAAAAATTTTACTTTCATCATTTACCTTTACATATTTTAAAAAGTTAAGCACTTATAATGATTATTTTACCTAAAAGTTGTTTTCTTAAATCTTACTAGTTATATATGATGCATTGCAGATATATATGAAGATTCTTGTATAACTGAATGGGTAATCGAGAAAGAAAAAGAAGTTCATAAAAATGGTAAAATAATGACAAATCAAGAAATTAAATGTACCTCACTTCTATTAAAATCACTCAAATTAGATAATTTAATTTTTGTTCGCTCTCTTTTTTGTTTCCAAACACGGCCTTGCCGAGAAAGTGCTCCATCCCTGAGGCACGTGCAAAAAGGCATGGGAGCGGAACAATTTCCATATGATCCGACTGGTCAAGGTCTCCATGCACTGGCCCACACCACCGGCTGGTCTTTCCACGTCAA